TATCTTATGTAGACATAACATTTGATATTTTTCTCTGTTAAATGATAAAGTGTTCGTGATTTCTAGTGGCAGCGTCTTGCTCCACTGACTCCTCATGAAGTCCGAGAAGTGAGTAGAACAGCTCTCACTATAAAACGATATGTGGTTATTTGTCAAATAAGTTTTTTTCCGTAGTCCATTTAGTATATATGAGTTCAGTATATATCAGGCTCCTTGGAATCTCAAACCCCCAACTTCCGAGAAATCCACATTTTTAAAAGCACATATCGAGTAGAATGTCCGCACTGGTCTACCTCTCACTTAGCTCAAAGTAAGTATTTCTGTAAGTCTTCAACATTGATGACGACCTTATTCGTTTCACTGTACACATCCTTGGTCAAGCGTCAACCATGTTATGAAATCCTCGAGAAAGCCATTCATCTTAGCCGATAGATGACATCACGCTCTTTATCTCCTAAAAAGCATGACCTAAGTCAAGTACTAGAGCTACCCAGACAAACCACTAAATACAATCCACCTCATAATATATACCATTTGCTAGGTAAGTTCGCCTGGATGAGTTTTTGCAGGCATCGATGATTCACTGCTACAAGAAACATAAACCCGTTGAGCAAAAGTTTATTCTGTTTCGTCCACTGTCATTAGAACTATTCGAATCATAGCTTAACATTAGATACCATCCTCAAACGTTACAGGCCTCAAGGCCTCCATTCTGATTAGCGGGTATTTTGTGCTCAGGGTCGCACCAACGTATCTTAAATAATGGAAAGGCCTTTGCTTTCTCCATTTAGTCCCAATCTGCCATATTCTGCAAAAGAACGATGGGTTTGCGTTTATCCTGCATATTTAAATAATCGTCGTACAAGAGCTCAAGGGAGGAAATTGTCTGTGGAACACTGTGTTGATAATCCTAAGCATTCGGAAGTAACGATGATTTTGGGGAAGCTCTCTCTCGACTATCTGTTGGAGACAAAGGTTATAATCATCTGTTTATAGTCTTTTATAGTTTTCAGGTCCATCCTAAGGAAAGGGATGCTTTCGAACCTATGAACAAATGGCGTGTCCGCGTCCATTTGAAAAACGATGATGGCAGTCCCGTAAATGAACAGTAATTGTGTCTTCTTTTTTCTCAGCTTCTAGGTTTCCAAATCGTCAATCTCTTTTATCATATTTGGGGAAGGCTCTTCCTGTAGTGCGGTCAAGAAGACCAGCCACATCAAGTTCTAGTACTACGGAACAAACCTTCCAAGGAAAGAAAAACAAGCGGAAAAGGAAGTGAATACATGGATTAAGAAGTTTGACATAACCTGCTATCATGTACTTGCCGTAAACATACTTTGTCTTGGGTGATTTTGTTCTTATGGTTACTTCTCATTGTTTTTACGATTGTCTTAGAGTGAAAATATAAAAGATTGGTTGGTTGCTGATTTGTCTCAGTATTCATCTTTATGGGTGACTAACTAGCTTGAGACTGCTGATTGCTAGTCTCATTATTATCTTCGCGTATGTACGGTGCAGTGTCTAATTGCTTCGGTGGTGCATATTTGAAGTTCATTCACTGTCAAACTGTCATAAAGCGATCCTAATATCTGTATAGTATGTAGTCATGGCATCTCATATAAGGTCCTTTTGTTTGTATGGCAAAATTTCACGCTATTTGAAAGTCACTTTCCATATATTATCATCCACACTTATTTTCACTTCAGGGAGCGGAGGCTGAAGTTACGAATTCCAAATCTCAACCACTAAATTTCATGGTTGATCTAGCTTTATTTACCCTGGTTTAAGAAACCCGGTTATTTTCGCTAATGTAAAACCATGTACACTAATACCTACTTTGTAAATGAGTTGAATGAAATGTCCCACGTCAATGGTATATGAGATTATGCTACCTAAAATCGCTTCGATTGCCAACTTTAAATATGTAGGCTACAATACTTCAAACTTTGGTAGGTTTGTCTCCATTTATGAGTTTTTGGCAATCGGATATTCACGTTCGTGCTTAACTCAGAATCGATTACCCATTCGGATTGCTTCAGTAATGTTTTTATTCTCTAATCTGAACGAGAATATCAGATGTTAGTTCCTTAAACTGTGTGTTGTTCAGTAGCATCAGTATATTTTTTATCTGTTGTTTCGAATTGAAGATCATACTGGTGGCATCTGGTTAGCTGCGAGTATTGGAGATTTTTGTCAGTCGAGTATTTTTGCGTTTCAAGCTTACCTGTTGAGATGGCTAAGATTTGTAGCTCAGGTGGATGATTTTGATAGAGTTTTGTTCTCTGAGCTGGATGGTTTGGTCGTGCAGCATCCATCGTCCCTCTGAACGACATCAGCACAAACTTCAGGTAGAAGTTCCTCTCGGAGGATTCATCTGTTTGAATAACTGGTTAGTCACTTTCACAGATGACATCAATATTCTACGTAGTTTGGTTACAGATGTTAAACTTCGTAAGTATCCTGTTAAAGATGAGACTACAATTTATGGACGACCTCTGAGTGACGCCAAAGTAACCTTGAGAATGTCCACCCACTAACTAGGACTCAATGAGGGTTATAAACTGGTGTGAGGAATTAGAATTGGAATTTACATTTGATGGTCAGGGTTAGGAATTACATTTAGGGTTTTCATCATGAACTGACATCAGCTAAAATTCCAAAACTCTATTTAGCGATATAGATGAATAAATTCCACGCCAAAAACCTAGACATGTTATCTGATATCTCGTTGGTTCGTCCATAAATTATATTCTGGCCTTGTTAAAGCACAACGGTTAATTTCTCCATGTTGAACAACTGACGTTCGTAAGGTTTAGTAAGTGTGTTAATAATAATTAACATAATTAGTCTGACAGTTACCTCGTCTAACGGCTTACTGTTTAGAGAAATAGGTTGCATTTTAGAGTGGTAAGCGTGATTTCTCCTCAAAACAAGTTTTGAAAGCCCTCACCAATATCTTTTATGGCTTTGTTTACTAAGGAAGAAAGACACATGTCCACAAAAGTACCCTTCGTATGTTGATAATCGGCAGGATTAATGCAAATCTCAATCTGTTTATTCAGTCTATTAGTTCTTGTCTTCTGAGGATTATCTGGGAATATCATGATTGTGAGAAACACTACGTAATTGAAGCTAGATTCAGGAACGAAGGTTTGTCGAACTAGGTTCCCGCCACTCATCGTAAACTAAGACATCTTAGTCGAGGCCTCATTTTTATTTCGAGTGTAAATTGTAGTTGAGTGGTAATTATTGATTAATTTCATAAATCTATGAGGGATGTTACTTTTAAGAGACTCATTGTTGCACTAGTTTTGATTATACATTTAAAATATAATGGAGATTTTGCCTTCTAGAAGTTTATAAATACAAAGATAGTTTCTGATATTTTACGCCTCAGTTGCTTTCTTGGTATTTTAATAAGAAACAACTGGTCATGTCAGATAGTTGGAGGAAAGCTACTTTTTGTAAATAATGCTGGTATTATCATAGGTCGTCGGTATATATATTCAATTCACATAGTCACACTTTGAGAGTCTGGTATATACGGCCTTTTAATAAGAAATATTATATCGGAAGTGTTGTGTTGTCATGTTTTCAATAAACACCCAACTGTCACCACTAATGCTTATATGATACATGAGTAACAACAACTGAGATAATTCTGGTGGAAACCAATCATTTAATTAGTCCAAATTAATGATCCGTAAAATTGACCATAAATCTGGCCAATTTTACGGATCATTAATTTGGATTTGTAATTGTAGAACCTGATGAGAAATTATTGAAAAGAATATTCTTCGTTTATGTAGTTGTGTTTTAATATAATGGGAATTTTTCAGCGATTTAATTAGTCCTCGATAAAAGAAAACTGAGAAAACCAAGCAGGTTTCAGTTTTAAATGTAGATGTGCTGACTAGATCTCTATTTATCGCTGGGTATTGGATTATAGGCATGGTGACCTCATACTGTAGCTGTATTCCTTGATACGAAATAGTGCACTTCTTTCCCGATAAGGAAATCTTTTAATGACGTTTTTTCGAAAGGTTTACCAAGGAAATACACCAATATACTGGAGGCCCTCCAGTCAAACAGAATCGGTCAAAGTTTCGAGGAAACTAATTCGAACTGGTAACATCAAGTAAAGTTAGGGCTGCTCACTTTCATACTTTTTATTTGATTTCGTCAAAAATACTTCTGGAAGTGAGTCATTCATAGCCAACCTTTTCATGGGTTGATTTCTTACTATGAAACTCACTCGTTTAATGTAGACAGGTGTTATATTCTTCTTGGTAAGCGTGTTTGGAAAATCGGATCTTTTAGATGTCTCGGTCGACAATGCAAGCGTATCTGTAATATGTTTCACGACTGTAAGTACAAATTATACTTTAGATCTTGTCTTCACCAATGTTTGATATAGTTACACACTTCAGCTTGTATTTCATTTTTGGAAGTCGGATTTCGTACTGTTTGATTATTACGATTCGTCAAAGTTGAGTCAGATTTGAATAAATTAACACATTTTTCCTTTGTATACCTTCTCATTTGGCGATTCGTTTTCGGTCATTCAGTTATGAGCAGACTAAGTGCATAATAAGTTCTTACATTGGTTATTTTATAACGTTCTTCTGTAAAGGTATTAAACAGAATTACACAATGCTGATATGGGAGTAGTGTGTACGTATATATACATATGTTATGTGGCGTAATTGGTCTCATTTTGAATTACTGCGTAACTTATATTGATAAGAAAGTATGAGAAACATAATTGACAGGAGAATGTGCCTATTTTTTACTTTAAATTTAGCACATAATTTTTCATAGCTAAATAACAAGTTACGACAAAAAACAGGTCTTTCTGATTGGATATTTGATATTACTAAGTGTTTGATTATAGTTGAACATTATAATGTTCTAGATTTATTTATCGAATCAGTGATAATGTTGTGCAGTTGAATAAACATATACATGATAGCCAATAGAATGTCTGTGTTTTTTTGTCAATGTAATTAAGTTTATAAGCACCAACTGATTATGATACTTCATACTGATTATATCCGGCAACTTATAAAACATTGATGGATAATATAATAAATATTACTTAGTGATGCCAAAATTGGCTGATCAAGTGGATATGTAAGTGGTTACTGTTGAACCATAACATTCTTTTTGTTCGGAATTAAATCAACTTATTAATTCGCTTGACTTTTTTTAGATGTGTAAGACTTTAGGAAAAGGAATTAATTCATTAAAACTTTCTTATTTAACTGTTAAAATCTATATTAAAATGAATCGAGCAGGATCATAGTAGATATTATTATTCACTTACATTGAGATAATCTGAAATTGTGGTACTATTTATTTGACATTATTTAATTTGTTGGGGCCCTTTTATTTACCGTCATTCAGATCGGACGATGTTCATTGAAGGACTCACCATTTTAGTGGCCCGTGGATCTGACTCCTATTTAGATCGTACGAATGTTTGTTATCGCCTATTCTCGTTTATAATCGTCAACCTAAATCACGTTAGCCAATAACGGAATTAAACGAGTCAAATAACGAGAATGGGATTTTGAATACATATATTTCGTATATGAGATGAATGGAATAGAAGGAAGAGAAGCGACGCAGAGTGGAGATGGCTGGTAAGCCAACTAGAATAAGGTATATGGGCTTAAAATAATAACTGGCACTTTAAATTATTAACTTACCTAGTCGATATAAGCTCTGAACATATATACATGTATATCGTTACACAGAACTTCTCTGGTATTGACTATGAAAGCAGGGTATGCATAATAAGCGTTTTCAGATATTTGAAGGGTCTGTATATGAACACGTTAGGTAGTGAGGGTATACAACACTCGGTTGCCCGATATTTCCATTTTCCTTCAATGACCTATTGAAGAAAGCTCGGAAGGAAGTACATTTAATTGGTGTAGTTCTGTCACTTTTATAATGACTTTAATTTCGAATATATGAACGACAGTATCATGCTGTTATATGATAAACAGGTTATCTGAATGTCAGTTCTGCACATAAAGTCCTTTCAACTCGTCTAGGGTCTCACTTACTTAACATGACATCTTTAATATTAACTTATATTAGTGCTATGGATGAGTATTATATTGTCTGTTTCTCTCTTGTGTGTTTTCAGCCTCGTAAATGACTATTTTCAACACGACTTTAAAATTTCTTTTATTTGTTTCAACAAATCTAAATGGACTATAGCAATGTCATTTATTATTCAGTAGTACTTTTACAACCACATGTTTTACTGACTGGTATCCTTGTTATCGTAACTTAGCAAATCCTAACTGTTCTGTTTTGCAGTTTTAAGATGAAACTTATTTTCGGAATTCTCTAACGGCTAATAAAATTTTATTGAATTGTTTATCTGACGAATAGTGATTGTACTTAGTCCTTTCTTCAAATCCAAAGTTGATGATTTTAAACCATCCGTTGGTATATTAATTCATCTTAGTTTACTATATAAAATATTTAATCTAACTTCATTTGAAAAGAGTTTATTTATGCCCTAAAATAAATAGAAATGAACGAGTTGTAGGCTAACAGAGTGATAAGTTGATATTAAGGCAATAAAATATATCTAAAAATAAGTTTAAGCATTAACTATATGTTCCAACTGAAATAAAAGAATATGCCATTTGAACTGTACTTTAACATCTTGGCGTCCCGACTATGAAAATTTGCAGATTGTAACAAGTAAACCAATTCAACTAAGTTTGTTGCACAATACTTTATGATTCTCAACATTCGGCCTGTAATATGATAGAGGAAATAATTAAATATATACTGTAACAGCATGTCAGGGAGATTGTCGATAACCCCAATATGTTTCGTTTCGCAAATAAATCTGATTTGATGAAACATTCGAACTCAAGATATATGCCTGCATTATTAATAAAATTTACTGTCATTATGAGGTTACGGAGACAGTCGAACTGAACTTGGGACCTTCAGTCGCTCGTGAACGCTTAACTTGTAGACCACTGAGCCGAAATCCAACTGTGTACTTCAGTCAATCCACTGTTATGCGTGACTATCTTCCACTGTCTTCAGTGGCTGCCTTCCGGTTGCAGTGTTGTGAATACACACTGCTGAGGAGTTGAAGCAACCGTCCAGTGCTACCAGGTTCCCAACGGTCGTGTAACTTAGATCGACTCATGGTTTCAAATAAAAAAATTCATAATGATTGTATTGGGACTTAATTATTTTTCTTTATTAAAACTATAAATAATGAATGCGTTCATTGGTTTATTTCATGTTATATTTTAGTACTCAATATAATTCAATTCCTAGACAATCTTCAATCCACTTATTTTTTGTGGATGAAAAAATATGAAATTCGGTTACATTTCTTAAGTATAATAGTTAAAATTTGGCTAAAACCTTCAAAATACTGGTAGTTTTATTATTTTCAATTTTATGGGTGTTTAATAGTGAAAGCGCATTGTATCAGTTTAGTAGTTAAACGTTTCTAATTTATTGTAGTGCTGCTTTAAAGTGACATTTTGGCTGATACAGTAAATTAGATCAATACACGTTCTGCAGTTCGAAAAATCGCATATCTTCTATTATATCACCTTGTTTTATCGACGTGTTTAAAATGAGGTCTGAGATCTAAATTTTGAAATATAAATAACATAGATCATGACCTATTTATCAATAAAGTTGCTTTCATTTTGAAATAAAGCTATTTGCACTTTATTTTCAATAATTCGACTTACCTCGTTGTTGATATCTGACTAAATTTTAATCGCTTTTGGTTGACATATGCACATCCTGTTCGAACTGCCTTGATAGTAAGCATTGTTTCGTTATTTTTTTAAACAGATAAAATGTGGTTAGCAGCGCGATCTGACACGCGAATTTCTTCCTGTTTGAAACTCGTTAGCTAGATGTACCTGCATCTCAGAGCTGACGTCGACTCCGAGATTCAGACACGTCCAGCTGACAAACCATAGATAAGATGAAACGTTTGTCCTGGATTTCACTGCTAATCGTATACCATCTATTATATGAGAAAGGTGATAAGTTTTTGTACATTTAGTAGCGAGTTACCACGGAGTGACGAATCGGGGATTATGATAAATCTTTATTTTTTTCTCTTAAAGTTATTACTTGATATTGTTGACATGAGCTAATAAAAAGATCTTTAAGGGTTGGCGGGAGAACCGAAGTATACGTTTATGGGACAAAGAAGAACAGTTACTGAACCAATATTTTTTCAAAGATAGAATAGTTTTCATACCACCTTACTGGTTTAGATGCGTCTGTAGACGGAAAGTTCACCGCTTTTTGAGGCTTTGTTATACGTCCATCAAGGAATATACATAAAACCTGACAGTGCTATTTAAAAGCATTCAGTCTTGAGATTATAGACCGTGTTAGCCTATTTTCGTCAGCTTTCCACGAAAGAATTCAAAGGAAATAAAACTAGTGATTGATTCAAGATCCGTAAAAATGCAGAACTTAGCGACTAAATCACACTAAATTCTTCATTATCTATTAAGTAAATTTGTATCATTTTGCTATAAGTAATGGGTAACACTAGAAAATCTGAAATAATTTTTCAATTCTATGAGTTCCATAAATATTAGATGGGTGTTCGGCTGTATTTAGTTGAACACTGTACTGAAGTAGCTGTTACAATTATTCATGAAGTTTTTTCCAAATTATACATAACTATGAGTACCAGACTTAAAAATCCTTGTTTTTAAAATATCTCAAACCTCTTTGTATCAATTCTTCCTAACATTTTGGCACTTAATAAATATCACAGCATTTTTCGCCACTTGTTGAAGTTTAATTTTCCTCATACAGAAGCTTACAATTTTTTATATTCATCTTGGCTTCTGTCCATTGTTTTTTTCTAAATTTTAAAATGATAGTGTCACGAGCTCTGGTCACTCATTAGTAACATTTCAGATTGTGAGGTTGTAAAATGTCTAATTAAGCTAACAAAATGTTGATTGGTTGCAAGGGTGGTAATATATATTTGATTATTCCCTACTGTTACTGGTCTAGTTCTAACGATTAGGTTGACTAATATTTTAGTTAAAATCTGGGAGTTGGAAGTAATCTCATCTGATTGGTCTCAATCACTGATTGTCCCAATATATAAGAAGGGTATTTCAGTGAACAATTGTTTTCAATAATTTCATCATCAGGCTCTACAGTTATAAGTCCATAATTATGTCAGTCAGTCAGTCAGTAACAACGTAGAACTTCGTACGTACGTACATCAGTTCGAGTTGCCACACCACATTAGCACAGAGATGCACTTGTCGATTCAAATCCCGTAGTGATAGAGGTAATAAGAGTATAAGCAGTAATCGGGAAGATTAGGGTTTGGAGATGTTATTTAAAGAGTATAATCCAGTGAAAGAAATTTGGAAAGAGGAAAAAAGGGACATGAAGAATTCAGAAGATTAGAATTTGGGAGAACACAGAGAGTGGATGCACCTGCGCCATTGCAAACGATTTTGAGCCATGTCATTCAGGGTCTCTAACCATCGGTTGCTGTCATCTCGCGGTCCCCAACCAGGTAGTCTACACCTACCAACATGACTCAGTTCACTTGTCAGTGACTTCATGGACTTGTGCCATGTTTTGGTTTGGCCGCCCCTAGCTTTCTTCCAACCTACTCCTATACCACTGAACATAGCACGTCGAGGCAGTCGGTGGTTGGGCATACGTAACACGTGTCCCAGCCATCTCAACTGATGAAGTTTCACTACGTCATCAATTGATTTGCCATCCTTACCTAGTACCCGTTTCCTAACAACTGTGTTACTTACTCGATGGTCCCATGATATACGAGCAATGTTTCGAAGACACCTATGATCAAATACTAGTAACCTACGGATATCCCCTACTCTTACCGGCCATGTTTCACTGCCATAAAGTAGGACGGAACGAACTGCTGCGCAGTAAACACGTCCTTTGGTTGATAGACGGATATCTCGCCTACGCCATAAATGACGCAAGTTGGCAAAAGCTAGTCGAGCCTTCTGTATCCGTGCTGAGATTTCGTCACACACTAAACCACAAGGGCTGATGAGACTTCCAAGATAAGTGAAGCGGTCGACACACTCAACTACTTCACT